GGTTGAATTTACTCCAATTCATTTTCTTCATAAATCAATCACTCACCCTGAATTGGTCTCACTATATGCAATTGCAGATGCTTGTGTTGTGTCTTCTACTAGGGACGGAATGAATTTAGTAGGACCTTCATCTACTAACATATAGGTCTCATATGAATACATTGCATCGCAGAAAGAAAAGCATGGTGTTTTAATTTTATCCGAGTTTGCAGGAGCTGCTCAATCACTCAATGGTATATTTAGTGAATTTTAATCATAGGTTCGATTGTAATCAACCCTTGGAATACTGAAGAGCTATCTATTGCTATTCATGACGCAGTTACTATGTCGGATGAAGTACGGAAGACCAACCATCAAAAGCTTTATCGTTACGTGAACAAATATACGGTATAATTTATCGTCCTAAATCTAGGCATCATTTTGGGGAATCTCTTTCATTAAGGAATTGAGAAGGGTTACTGATGAGCAACGAAGTAAGCGCAAAGTTCCAAAACTTCGAAATCAATATATTGTCGAGCAATTTGTAAATTCCAAAAAGAAAAAGATTTTATTCTTGGACTATGATGGTTTGGTCATCTTGTTTGTTAATAATCAGGTACATTGACAAGTCTCCATAAATTGCCCGAATTCGCCAAACCCTCCAGTTCGATCTTAGCATTATTAAAACAAATATGCTCAATGAAGGATGTTTTTGTGTATATACTTTCTGGTAGATCACGGGAACACCTTGATCGTTGGTTTGGTGAACTAGACATTGGTCTGTCAGCCGAACATGGATGCTTTTATAAGCATCCATCCAAAATCAAAACCTTGGTTGAAAATGAAATGTTGGACCTCAAGCATAATCGCCGGGTTGGATCATCTTCATCTAGCTCTTCGCAAGATCTGCTTTCAGCCCGAAGAAACGTAGGAAATGATTGGTATGCTCTAGTAGATCAAGTAGATTCCTCATGGCGGCCTACAATACAGCCATTGTTCAAACATGTATGCTATTTTCTTATTTACATTAGTACACTGAAAGAACCCCTGGTAGTTTTATCGAGGAAAAGGAAATTAATTTAACTTGGTAATAACTGATCATATTTATCATTTAGGCATTATAGAAATGCAGATCCGGAATTTGGCATTTGGCAAGCTACTGAGTTACAAATCAATTTGGAGAAGATTTTGTCACACTTGGCCGTTTCAGTATTTTATTTAATAATTCATATTTAGATTATATTTGGTGATAAAACTTTGGAGTTACGCCCTTCGAGTATTGACAAATCAACTGCAGCGAAAGCTATTTTCTCTGATTTGAATATATTGGAGGAAAGTGATTTTCTTCTATGTATTGGCGATGGTAAAACAGATGAGGCTCTATTCACATACCTAAATGAACCATGGCAACATACTGTAACCGTTGGAAAGAAAGTTACAGATGCACGCTACTATGTTGATATGGTGAGGGATGTAGAAAATTTACTTGGTGATCTGATTAATGGAACAAAATCTTGATTATTTTGAATAAAGTTTGCAAACAAATTTGGACTAGTAATTGTATTTTTGGGTATAAGATAAACAAACTAGACTATTGAAAATTGTAATACCATAGCTTGGTATGAAATACCTATCATCAGCTATCTAGTGTTAGGATACGTAACATTTTGATAGACAATCACTGCGGGGTTGCGCGTTTTGATTGATTTTTTTCATTCTTTCACTTTGTCACCCATTCTTTATTTTGTGTTTTTTGTTGACTTACAGAAGAAATGCAGACAATTAAATGTGTAGTCGTTGGTGATGGTGCTGTAGGAAAAACATGTTTACTTATTTCGTATACTACTAACAAATTCCCTTCTGAATATGTACCTACTGTGTTTGATAATTACGCCGTTACAGTTATGATTGTAAGTATTTTCAGGATATCTATCGTTTATATTTAATTACTATCTATTAGTTTTGTTACTTTCCCTCATTATACCCTCATCCCTGTTTAATTACTAACTTCAATAGGGAAACGAGCCATATACTCTCGGTTTATTTGATACTGCTGGGCAAGAAGATTACGACCGTTTACGTCCTTTATCTTATCCTCAAACTGATGTATTTCTTGTATGCTTTTCAGTGGTGGCGCCTGCTTCTTTTGAGAACGTAAAGGAAAAATGGTTCCCAGAGGTTTGAATACGTTTTGGTATTTTTATTATTAGGTTCGACATCATTGTCCGGGTGTTCCATGTATTATTGTAGGAACTCAAAAAGATTTAAGAGATGATGCCAATGCAATCGAGAAGTTAGCAAAAAATCGACAAAAACCAGTCACAGTAGAATCTGGAGAAAGACTTGCAAAAGATTTAAATGCAGTGAAATACCTGGAATGTTCTGCATTAACACAAAATGGACTGAAAAATGTCTTTGATGAGGCTATAATGGCCGCTTTAGAACCTCCTAAAACTCCTAAAAAGAAGTGTCTATTGATATAAATGCTGGATTGCTTCTCAGAAAATTTACTTTTTAAAAAAATCCCTTTAAAACGAATTCTCATTATTTCCTATTGTTGAGTTCTTTTATGGGACGGTATACCATCTTCACAGCTTATATAGAAATTCTGAATTTGTAAATTTAGATAATGTCCCTACAATGGCAAATATAAGCATTGGTACACGTAGTTTAGGTATCATGTCGGGGAATCTTATAATCAAATGCAAAACTAGCACATGATGGACCACAACATATAATTGTAATGATACGTATGATCTGCATATTTTGTACCAACCAATGAAAAATATTAATTTCGTTTCCACTTTAGTGCAACTCCATTAAATAACAGTATTGAAAAAACGATTCATAGGTCCCGCGGCCCAGTGGTTTCGGCGTCTGACTTCTAATCAGAAGATCGCGAGTTCGATCCTCGCCGGGATCTGTTTTTTTATTTTTCGTATTAGGTTTTCCTAGTTTGTTTGACTGGTTCTATTTTGCTCCTTAATATTTTTATTGAATTTGTTAGAAGCGTAATTAAATAGGGCTTTAATGGCTGCTATCAGATGGTAACTGAACTCGATATATTGTGAAAAAAGGCAAGATGTGTCAACAATGTTCACATTAGGTTAATAGTCTCATAATATCTAGAGTCTATCAATGAGAATTTGCGGACCGATTTAAATCCAAGTTAATAATAATACATCATTTACAAGGTAACAGAACACCAAAAACGGTGACAGATGAGAATGATCTTGTTATATTTAGCCAAAATAAGTCAATACATATAGAGTACTGTCCAATTTCAATTAGATTGTACATTAAAAATAGTTTTACTGATGTCCAATTGATGAAAACATCCAAAAAAACAAAAAGGAAGTGTGAACTGAAACGATTCGTTTCAAAAACAAGATCCCGGCGAGGATCGAACTCGCGATCTTCTGATTAGAAGTCAGACGCCGAAACCACTGGGCCGCGGGACCTGTTGGCACATTGTGTAAAATACTAAATATAATGTGTACTTTCATTTCCTCTATGATCATGTGATTAATGACTCCACCAAAGGTGTTGAGAAAGTTAATTGATGATGATTAATATTGAGAATCTCTAAATAATGTGCGTAATTTTCTCTGTGTATGGGATTTTCTTGATAGTTATATTCCCTTTACATATGTTGTTTTTCGCCATCCTAGTCATATGTCGACTGCACACGAGCACCTCAAATCAGAGAGCACAAGTGATTATTCCTACTAACTGATTTAATTATATGTTTGCACATGTAGTTCTTGATCATTCAAACTAACAGCATTTCTGTAGCCCCTGCCTCTCAAACGTTTGGGCGTGTATTAACCCTTTATCTGCGAGACTATTGTACATGTTAACTATCGGTTCAGAAGACTTCTATCACCCATTAACGTATTTGTACCACTGATTATGAGTTAATTTTCGCTTGATGAATAATCAATACCTTTTTAGAGTCGACAGAAACCACAGATTTTTATCAAACCACTCAAACACAGAGTATTATCGAATCTTTCTATGCCTTAAAAATAAGTTCGTGATAGTGTGGAGATGGTATTACAAAAAGCTATTGATGCTCAACTAAGTAACTCCCTAAGTTCACAAGTGTGGCTGGAAACAGAAATTTCAAAAATATTGAATTCCACCGTAAACACAAACAAAAACTAATGAAAGAGGAACCACAAGAAATCCAAGAAACGACAGACTCTGCAATCCGTTATTTAGGTTATGCTGGTCGAATTACCAACTTTGTCAATTCTGGCTCCAGATATTTAGCTTATACCAGTGATATTGGTGAGGCCTTTCGCCCAGTCGTTAAGCCTTCAATTGTTCGGTTAGCTTATGGTGTCTCGTTTGCATGTAACCAAACTCTATTTTAAATATTAGATGTCGGATTTGATGTTGGTTTGGAGGCATACAAGTCAAGAGTGCGTGGTGATACATCGGTTGAGACTGGACGTGTAGTGCTTCAAAGATCGATTTTTCAAATATTGGCTTCATTAGCACTGCCAGCGTTAACCATTCATACAGCAGTTGATTTCGCTGCGAAGCAGATGAAAAAATATCCACAATATCCAAGGTTACTGAAATTTGGACCGACTGGATTAGGATTGGCATTAATTCCTGCCTTGCCTATTATGTTTGATGACCCCATAGAAATCGCTATGGAGAAAGCTTTCGATTATGCTTGGCCATTAAGTGAAGAAGCTCACCAACGAGCACACCATCACCATAAGTCCGAATAAATTATATAACTTCTCATAAAAAATAAAGATTCCGAGTCTCATATAATTTATGTACAATCATACCAAATCATTATATTCAGAACATATTCCAAAAATCCTAAACTACATTAAATTATGAAAATAACCAGATTAGTCAATTTATAACATCTTAATATTATTAATGATAATCATAAATTATAGTATGATATTTAGAACATTAAGGAAAACTGTCCTGACTTTTTTTTACTTTGTATGATAATGTAGTATTATATACTATTTCAAAATCTATCGTTCATAGGTCCCGCGGCCCAGTGGTTTCGGCGTCTGACTTCTAATCAGAAGATCGCGAGTTCGATCCTCGCCGGGATCT